CAAAAGCCTCTTATGCAAAAGGGATCTGAGGAGGAAATGCAAATGAGTGTGATGTATGCAAATGAGCACTCCATTTGCATTTCCTCTTGCGGAAGAGGATCATAGTACAGATGCAGCCTGGGAGTTTCATGTGTGGAAGGCTTGTGGAACAGAGGGTTTCAGTTTAAAAAGGGTTTTGTATATTTATTGTAAAGTACTGTTGGCAGGGAACTGTGCTGTTATAGTAGCATTCCCTGTGTTTGTTTTATAGGGCTTGCTGATAAGGGAATTTCAGCAACAGTTAAATCACACTACATCAGAAGGTAAGCATTTTATTTTATAGGCGAAAATGTTGGGTTTTTTTCTAAGAAGTAAAAAAACATGTTATTTATTTTATTAAATTTGATCTATGTCTAGATTTATCTTGGGTCCTTCTCAAGTACATGGCTAAACAAAGCATCTCATCTTTTATCTATGTTCACCTGAACTATTTGTACCCTGTTGTGTAAACTGCTGTTCTTTAAAACTCTGTTACTATGCTTTTATAAAGAGGTAGTATATATTTGGGCCAGTAGTACATGGTTGCTCTGTTAGGGTACATCTAGACTACAGGCTTCTGTCGACAGAAGTTTTATCGACAAAGAGCGTCTACACTACATTCAGTTCTGTTGACAAAGCAAGCTGCTTTGTTGACATGGTAGTGTAGATGCAAAGGACAGTTTACATGCAATAACACCTTCTGTCGACAGAAACTCTGTCGACAGAAGGCGTTATGCCTCGTAAATGAGGTTTACCAGCGTCAACAAAACTGCTGAGTTCTGTCGACGTTAGGTCGACAGAACTCAGCGGTAGTGTAGACGCAGGTATAGTTTTGTCGACGAAAGTCCACTTTTGTCGACAAAACTCTGTAGTCTAGACACACCCTAAAATATAGAACTGGTCTGATATATATATGGTAACTTATTTCTTGATTATCTGGAAATACTTTATATTTTACAATATGGTATACATAAGAATTTCATCAGAAATTTAAACCCCCCACAAATGTTAATGTCTCAATGCTAGCATATATGATAAAACATAGAAGATCTTTACTTTAGACGGTCTAGAATATTAATCATAAGAGTAAAATAAATTTATATGGTCAACAGCATATCTGCATTACTCTGATTTGCACTAGAATATATTCTTTTATGATCATATGGAAGCTGTTTTTCCCTCTTAATGAACCTTTGGCCAATAGTCAGTGTCTGAGTCATGATCACTAAAACTTATTTAATAGTCACATGGAATGCATCTGCTGGCATTAATAATACTGAAAATGGATTCTGATTGATTAGAATGTTAGAAGGATCAATAAGCTGCTTATGAGCCTTATTCTGTATTTGTGTTCCATACAGGGGTTACATCACTATCTTGCATAAAAAGAAATTCAGTACCCATGAGTAACCGCCTTTAATAGCTATACGGGTTATATCCCCACTGAAGGCAGGATTCATCATTTTTTGTCTACTCCTGCATAACATAGTGTGTGTAGTACTGTGGCGTAAGTGGTGAAATAGAGTTTTTCATTAGTCTACACAACAATAACAGCAGATACTTTAAACACATACTCCATAATCTCTTAAAATTCTTGCTTTCAGTACTTCGTAGCACTCATGTAGATGGTCAACAAAATGAGAGCTGCTTAGTAACTTTTTATGCCTGATCCAGGGAATCAAGGTCCCAAGGTATTCAGTGGGTAGTCCCATTGAAGTTAGTGGGTCTACTGACTTGCTTAAAATTAAGCACGTCCTTAATTACCATGCTGAAACAGGGCCTGATTAATAGATGCAGGATCAGGCCCATAATTCCATCTGATTCACTTTTGTAAAAATGTACCTCTGAGGGCCTGATCCTACATCCATTGAAGTTAATGGGAGCTTTGTCATTATCTTCAATGGAAGCAAGACCATTCTGCATGTTTAATAGTTTATATAACAATATTCTGGTAATTTAGATCGTGATGTTAAAAGTTTAGTGACTTCACTTAACAAACATAGTGGAATCTCAGAGTTACGAACACCAGAGTTACAACCTAACCGGTCAACCACACATCTTATTTACAAGTGGGGGGGGGGGTGATAAATGCAGTACAATATTTTTAGTTGTTTATATTTAACACAGTAAAGGGAAAGTTTTAAATATAAGATTTTTTTACAAGGTAAGGAAACTGCTTTCTGTGCTTGTTTCATTTAAATTAAGATGGTTAAAAGCAACATTTTTTTTTCTACATAGTAAATCTTCAAAGCTATATTAAATTAATATTCTTCTGCAAACTTTTGAAAAAAACACCATAACATTTTGTATTGAGTTATGAACGTTTCAGAGTTATAAATAACCTTCATTTCCGAGGTGTTCATAACTCTTGGATTCTACAGTACAAGAGAAAGGAATCACTAATAAAAAACACAGTGACCATCCTATAATACTATGGGGAGGTAGCGAGGATCTTGTGCAGAAAGCAAACAGATAAATCCCTTCTAGATTCTAAAGAAAAGGACGCTACATAGCCACACAGGGAAAAGAGCCACACAGAATGTTCACCTTGCTTAATTATTCTGCATTCTATGGAAAAATTTAATACTGATCTGTAATTACCCTGTACTGTGGTTGTGTTGCAATTACAGTGAAAGCTTTATCATCTGGCACTCTGTTGACCAGAAAACTGGCATATGCCTGACTCCTGCCTGTCCAGCCAACTGTTGCAGGGCTTCTGACAGATGGCGCTGACGTCATCAGTCATTGATTGATTTCAGTGTAATTCTTTGAAGTCCGTTAATTAAAATTAATTATATGACTTACTATTTAGATGCATAGCTTCAGTAAATCTGAAGTCTGTCCCTATCCTTTCAATGTATATCCAAACCTATCAACCGGTCATTGTCTCTCTTAAGAACTAGGAATAGTGGATTCGAGGAGAAAAACTTGAACTGAAATATCCACCCAGTTTTTGGGGAAATCTAGGACTAAGGATGTTAAAGAGTGGTTATCTGGCTAATTGCGTAGTCGATACAAATTGTATCGACTACACGATTAGTCGATAAGGAGGCCACTCTGCGGAGCCACACTGGGTGTAGCTCCCAGAGCCATTGTGAGCTAGGCCTGAGCAGTCCCAGTGCACGTGGCTCCGGGACCTCTGCATTTTAAATGTAGTAAGAACTGGGTGGCTCTTACTACATTTAAAATGAAGAGGCGCAGTGGTCCCAGAACAGCACGGCCTGGGATTGCTCAGTCCCAGCTCGCACTGGATCCCAGCAGTCCTTGTTCACGGCAGCCAGGGCTGGCCGCAGACAGGGGCTGCTGCTAAAGTGGCCCCTGCCCGCAGCCAGCCAGGGCCGTTGCGGATGGGGGCTGCTTGGTGGCAGCAAACCTTGTCCGTCAGGGGGCCCAGCTCCTCATTGGGACCCCCGCAGACAGGAGTTGCTGCAGAAGCAGCCTCTCCTATCCTCCCTCTGTTACCTCTGACAGGGTATGTCTACGTAGCAGTGCTAAACTTGAAATAACCTATGCAACTTGAGCTACGCTAATTGCGTAGCTTACGTAGAAATAGAGTATTTTGAATGTGGATACATCTACACAGCACTTATTTCAAAATAGAGAACTCTTCCTTTAACATCCCTTACTTTTCATACAATGAGGTTTACAGAAGTCGGAGTAAGAAGCCCATTATTTCGAATGTATTTAGAAATACCGAGCTTGCTGTATAGACACGCAATACATTATTTTGGAATTATGTCAATTTTTTCAAAATAATTCTTCTGTATAGACAGACGTACCCATAAAAGCAGTGGGGGGGGGGGGCTTTTAAGTAGGCTCCCCCAGCACTGGCTCTTGTCTTCTCCTTTCCCCTCTCCCTCCCGCCACCGCTACCTCTCATACAGAAGGAGCAAGGGACAGGGGGAGCAAATAGTCAAATATTCCACTCAACTGCCCAATAACCTTATGCTTATCAGATACTCGAGTAGTTGACTACTCCTTACATCCCTATTTAGGATCAACTGTAATTTTTAAATGGTTGCTTTGTACTGGCAAAATGCATTACTTCCCTTTTGGGTTTAATACTACTCTAAATCTAAATCTCTGATATTGGTTATTTACTGATCTGTTGCATGATCACAAAAGTGGTCTGCAAGTTAGTACCTTTCTCTTACTCTTGTTTTAATCAGGTTTTTTTGTGTGTGGTAGTTGGAAATTGTGGCAAGCTCTTGCCATCACAAGAAATATGAAGGTGCTTTCCAGAAAATCTCAACAAATATGCAAAGTACATAGAACTTGTAATTAAACCCATTTTTCTTCTTAGTAAAGAAGATAGAAAAATACAGTTTGCCTTATGGGAGACCCAGGGTTCTACAGAAGAACAGCACATACTCCCTCCTTTATCATCAGCAGTATGTGAGTGGATACAGCCAGGATCTCAATATGCCTTTGTGGAGTGCCTACACTGTTAACAAATATGTAAGTGTTTGCTGGCTTCTGTAATACTATGCTCTTCCTACTGTTACTTTTTATATTTTTGATCAGAGGTTATTTTTTTGTTGTTTTTATGTAAGCTAGAAGCACCTCTGCTTTTGAATATTGGTTGCCCCAAAATTCACACAGTAGCTGCCCATAGCATCTGTCCCATGGAAACACTCAGAGAAGAGAGACTTTGGGGAGGAAAACTTACAATGAATAGACTGTGGCTCCTCAACCTTCCCTGAAGAGAGCTGCAGTTCTGCCTCCAGGAGACAGTAGCTGATAACCAATAGAGAGAGGCCCTGTGAATCTATTTTGGCCTTCGCTTCTGGATGTGCCAACTCTGGCAGAGTGGCTCCAGAGTCTCCAAGCTTTTAAAGCTGCCTCTTGCACCTCAACATTAAGCATGGGGCCTTTTCTAAAGCACATCATATGTAGTTTCTGTGTGGCTAGTGTATGATAAGAGACCATGCAGGTCCTCAACATGTTTTTTTCCTTTTCCCAAAGCAGGGAGGCCATTTATGGAGTCTGAGGAAGGGAGAAATGGCAGTAAAATTAATGCTATTCATTCATACCCATCTTTTACATAAAGAATAGGGGAGTTCTGCTTGGAAATCTTATGGGCACAACTAACCCAAGCATTTTAGAACTGTAATTTCTGTTCCTGAGACTATTTAAAAAATAAAAAATAGCCACCTTCTTTCCTGTATGCCACTTGGTTAACAGATAGATAGATTAATATTTATAGTCTGTAAGGCTAGAAGGAATAGCTAGATCACTTAGTCTAACTTCCACTATAAAACAAGTAATTACATTTCACCAAGGGCATGTCTACACAGCAGGGCTAAAGCCAAAATAAGCTATGCAACTTGAGCTAGGTGAATTGCACAGCTTAAGTCAAAATGGCTTACTTTGGCTTTTGGCGCAGGCAGTCTGAGAGAGAGCACTCTTCCTTCAACTTCCCTTACTCCTCATAAAATGAGGAGTGAACTAAGAAGTCCTCCAGCTCAACATTATTTTGACATTGTAAAAATAACTGCTTGAAGTGTAGATGTGAACTGTTATTTCGGAATAACAAAATACTGACATTATTCCAAAAATAACACTGCTGTGTAGACGTAACCCTACTTACCTCTGCATTGAGCCCAGTAACTTATGTTTGGCTTGGGATACTGACTGTAACTAATGACAAGAACCTAAATCCAATTCTTAAATATTTAATGATTCAACTCATCGCCAAATACACAGATCCCTGATGTCCTCTTCTACACAGTCACCTTTGAAATTACAATAAATATTCACACGAATCCATGGGAAGTGTATCTTTAAAGTAATATAACCTGAAACACACCTGATGGTATAGAACCATGGTGTCCAACCAGTTCTGAAGCAGTAGCCACTATGCTATAGTGGCTGCTGCTATAACAAACAAACCATACTCAACTGGCCAAATAGCCACATGTGGCTATTAGTGTGTTGAACACCATGGATATAGAAGATTACATTATTTCCTAGAAATTTTTCTTAAAGTGGTTTTTAGATTTAGGATCAGCCAGGAATATTATTCAACATGATTACTTGGGGAAATTGTAGAGTTTTCAATAAATGTTTATTATTTTAAACAATAATAATTCAAAACTATGCATAAGAATAAGCTACAGGCAAACACATACTTCACAAAAATAAAACCCCACTAAATCACTTAATTGCTATAACACCGCCCAAGGAATCTCAAGCACTTCTAACATGCACATCTGAATTTTTGCCTAATCAAAATAAGGATATAGGAGTATTTACTCCATTTGTAATTCAATCTCCTCACACAACTTTTGGATAGAAAGCTGGCTAGAATGTCGGGCCTAATGGGTAGTGATCAACAGCTCGATGTCAGGTTGGCGGTCAGTTTCTAGTGACCTAGACAGATCAGAGGATTGGGTCAAAAGAAATCTGATGAGGTTCAACAAGGACAAGTGTAGAGTCCTGCACTTGGGATGGAAGAAACCCAAGCATTGTTACTTACAGGTTGGATACCTACTGGCTAAGTAACAGTTCTGCAGAAAAGGACCTGGGGATTACAGTGGATGAGAAGTTGGATATGAGTCAACAATGTGCCTTGCACATTAGGTTGCATTAGGAGGAGCATTTATTAGAAGTGATTATTGCCCTTTATTCAGCTCTGGTGAGGCCACATCTGGCATATTGTGTCCAGTTCTGGGCCCCACACTATAAAAAGGATGTGGACACATTGGAGAGGGTCCAGCGGAGGGCAACCAAAATGATTAGGGAGCTGGAGCACGTGACGTATGAGGAGAGGCTGAGGGATTTGGATTTGTTTCGTCTACAGATGAGAAGAGTGAGGGGGGATTTGATAGCAGCCTTCAACTTCCTGAAGAGAGGTTCCAAAGAAGATGGAGAAAGGCTGTTCGCAGTAGTGACAGATGACATACAAGGAGCAGTGGTCTCAAGATACAGTGGGGGAGGTCTAGGTTGGATATTAGGAAAAACTATTTCACTAGGAGGGTGGTGAAGCACTGGAATGGGTTACCTAGGGAGGTGGTGGAATCTCCAGCCCTAGAGGTTTTTAAGTCTTGGCTTGACAAAGCCCTGGCTAGATTGATTTAGTTGGGATTGGTCCTGCCTTGGGCAGGGGGCTGGACTTGATGTCCTCCTAAGGTCTCTTCCAGCTCTATGATTCTAACTTGGAGCAATTGCAGACAATTATTTATGGTTTTGCAAACCCAAGTATTGAAGTGAACCATGATGGTGACTCTTGTACAGCAAATTATTATTCTGTTTCTGTTCAATAGGATAACCGGACTGCTTCTGTGCGAAATGTGCCCAGCTGTTTACATGTGGACATTCGTATCCCTTCTCGTTCTAGTCATACTTGTTCATTTTACAAAAGTCGCCATCAACTGAACTATGGATTTCTTTTCCCTCCAAGTAAATTAACAATCATCTTCACATGACTTGGCTGAGTTCTGTCATTTCTGTGTTTGCTCATGCAATAGTGGAAAGGGATACCCTTTGTAATAAAATGATCCAGTGAATTAATTGAAGGCATCAGGTTGCTACTATTAAGCCATTTGCAGTGTAGTCCATTTCAATTTTCGGAGTAGGACTCTCTGAACTTTGGCAGGTGGCGGGTTGCTCAAGATGTTCTTTCTTTCTCTGTCATCAAAGACAATTCAGGGTGTCTTGAACGAAGGAAAAGAGGAGAATCTCTTACAAAACAAACTTTGGCAGAACCAACAACTAGACCAACTCTGGGTGAAATCCTGGCTTCGCTGAAGTCAATGGGTTTTTGCCAGGATTTCATAAGCAGTGAAAAGTGTAACTGGCTAGATCTGCCCTCTTAGGGTATATCTTCACTTGTCCCCTAAATCAGACTAGGGAGGCAAATGAAGCATACCGAACTTGCTAATGAAGCGCGGGATTTAAATATCCTGGACTTGCTTAGCATATTTGCGTCCGGTTGCCATTTTAAAATGCCGGTAGCCCAAATTAATTTGCCGCATGTAGACATGGTAGTTCGATCCAAAACTCTTCCCTGAGGAGTAACAGTTCCATGAGGAGTAACAGTTAATTTGAGGGAAGGGCGACCGGCTGCGAATATGCTAATCAAGCTTGGGATATTTAAATCCCATGCTTCATTAGCAACTTCGGTATGCTTCATTTGCCTCCCTAGCCCGAACTAGGGGGCAAGTGTAGACATACCCTTAGTTATAATGTATTGGTTCACTAGATGAAAACATTGGTCAGAGTATTCTTCATCCTTTTAAACAATAGCATGGAATTATTTCCACCATCTCTCTAGAGGTTTGAGAGAGTGTCAGATTTCCAACATGACACCTTAGATAGGAAAGGGAAAGAAGTTTATGAACTCTGAATCAAGTCTTATGAACTGGGAAAACAAAAGTAGTTCAAGTTTCAAACTTTCTTCTTCCTATGTGGTTACCATTTGAAAAAACCCACGTTTCCTGTCCAGAATGCTTGTGTCAAATATTGGAGTGTGGTTTTCAGTGGGAAACTTCTTTTAATCAACTCAAATTGATTTTATTTTATATGTGAAATATTGTATTGTCTCACACCAGGTTTTCAGTAAAATAATTCATTGTTTGCACTCAAATGGTCCTGATTCTCTCTCAACTTATGTAGCTATTTATAACTGTGCAGGCCCACTGACAGCAATTCTGGGCCCTGGGGTAGAAATCAATGGGTCCCCTGCTCCCTTCCCTCGGCTGGGACCACAAGCCTCTGCCACCTAAAGAAGCCCCAAGCACACAACACACCATACCACAAAATCTCTGGGCTGATCTGCCCTATCTCTCTCCTGATTGGAGGAGTCTCAAGGCAACCACACCATGCCTTTCCTCCCTTCTACAGACCCAACTGGGGAAAAACTGAAGTAGTGTCTCTTGATTCAAAGATGCTTTTTCTATGTCCCATGCAGGTTCCAGAGCCCAGTAATCCGACCTTGGAACCTGAATGGGGCATATCAAGAGATGTTTTCACCTTCCCCAGAGCAGGCAGAGCTACCACAGCAGTGGCTGGGAGCTCCAGGCCCTTTTTAAGTTGCCCGGCTCCCTGGTCAATTGCCCCCATTACCTCCCCCTCCCTGTCGACGAGTTGTACCTGTGCAAAGTGAATGTGGAACACATTTATTCTGATCCAGTAGCATTTCACTCCTACTTTGCACAGATGTAAATGGCTACAAAAGGTGCTGGACAGTGGAAAGTCAGGTATTATTGGCAGTATTTGGTACTTTCTTTTAAAAAAAATTGCTAGCTTAAATAGAGCTGGGCCCTTCTGTTTTTCTTATCTATTCTGTGGATAGAATGAGTTTGTACAGTACCTACCAATGACATTTAAAAGTATGTACTGACTTTTTTTTAAAAACATTTTCAGGACTGTGTCCACTTTATATTTGACAATTGCACTTACTGTGGCTGCTAACTAGATTACTTTATTCTCTATGTACCAGATCTATCACCCATTTAAAAGACTGAACAGACTCCCATTGACCTAATGAGTGCAGAATCAGGCCCCAAATATATTTACCTTTTTTAAAAAGATCAGACCCTTGGTAACATTTTTAAGTTGTTCTATTTAACATCCTTGTTGCTGGCATTTCATGGCTTTCTAAGTAATCTTGCAAGGTAATAAATACATTTTAATAATTCATTATTTATAGATCTAAGAAAAAACACAAAGAAGAGTTCCTATGAAGCGCTACTTAACAGCAACATTGTGCCAATGTATGACGAGTTTAAAGGTAATTATGTAATTAATTTGCATGAAAAACATTGCTGACTTGTTTCAAAATCACTGCAAAAAGATCCCTGGCTCAGCAGCCTTTGTAAATTAAGTCTCAGCTAAGAGAATTGATCCAGATTATGAACTCCTTGTTTACATGGGTAAGAAGTTATTGATGTGAGTAATTTTACTAAAGCCCACATGAACTCACCACTAGTTTAGGGTTCCCAGCCTCTGTCCCTGTGTAAACAAAGGCTTAGAACTCATTTCTTAATTTACCATTTGACAGTATTTTATTGCTTATTTTTCCTCTTCTCAATTTCACCGGGTATGTTGGGCAGAGGGTCTTTATTGGACACTGATGCAGTTAAATAATCAACATTTTCCAGTTTAGGAATGTTTTCTAGACTCAAAGATGGCCTTGTGCCTGAGTTTCTTATCTGAAATCTGGTCTGCTGTAGTAATAAGGGCAATACATCTAGCAGAGAAAGGATGTGCAAGCTAGACATGCATAAGCGAGATTGAGCATGGGGTGCGTGTAGGGCACAGGAAGATTGAGTTGGTATCTGGAAAACCAGATATAGAACTACTCCTCCTATTAAGCAGGTCTGCATCAGCCTGGTACAGTTATATTTTACATTGGGGACATCAGGTGGCTCACTGTTAACTGGAACATCAGTTAAGACTAACCATAAAGATCTCTCCTCTTCTATCTAGCTGTTTATATTCTGATAAATATACAGTGCAATTATATTTAATACTTTCTCCCTCCTCCCCCATATAATATTTTCCCCTACCCTATTGTATTTCCAGTATTATGGAACTATTTCTGTGATGTCCTGCTGCCAAAATATGCTCTGGCAAGGAATGGTGTCAATGTAGTCAGTGGCCCTGTGTTCGATTATGACTCTGATGGGCTGTATGATACTTCAGAAAAAGTGAAAAGGTGGGAAATGTCTCCTTTTTAATGCTGATTTTTTTTCTTCCATTTTTAATCATTTCATAATAATTATACTAGTTGCCAAAAAACCCCACTCCCAAGACTGAGAAGGATACATCAGTTAATGTGTAGCCAGTCACATAGCTCCAAAACACATCACTTTAAAGTTAATGGACAAGCAAAAGAGAAAGGGGGGGAAAAAAGCCACCCCAGAAAAATGGACATTATGCATTAAGTGCACCTGTGAGCTGAGGCAGCTGTAAGAATAGAGTTTAACCTAGAACTCCATGAGGCTGCCTCCAGTAGTGGAGGAAACAGGAGCAATGGAAAGAGCCCATCATTCTAATGGGCTGAGTCTTTTCTGAGCCAGTTACTCTGAATAAGCTTTATGGATAGATTTCTCTTTACAGTTTTGTTGTTTTCTTATACAGGATAAGTTTTGTCATCCAACATTCATAAGGAATGGGGGTTATTGGTTAATCAAATGTGCTAGTTACTCAACCTTTACACCAATGGCTTATGATTTTTTCACTGTATGCTATCCATAGTTGCAGAATGAATTAGGTAATATCTGATAATGATATATGCACAAGCACAACACAAACTTTACTGCTTTACTACAAACTTTACTAGCTTTTCATGTATAAAAATGATGCCAGAGGGCTATTAGAATTTTTCTGGTTAACTGAAGGAGGAATTGTATTACCATCCATGACAGATGTTGGTTAACAGTTTTTTTCTGGATATTAAAGTGCCAGATAACAAAACATATACTGTAGTTAGCAAGATTAGTTCAAAATAACTGATTAGCTGTGTGTTCCTTAAACTCAGCCAGAGCTCTGAATTCTGTCAGTAATCTATTTTAGATTCTCATGCTTTTATGAAAAAACAAGGTTTTTCCTTTTTGATACCTTCATTAGACCTCCTCTTTACACCACCAAGCCAGCCAAACTTGGTTTGTGTGATAGCAATCTAGAATGTCCCACAAGGCTCAAAGTATTCTAATGGCACATTTTGATGCTGAGCTTCTTCCCTTGGGCCAAATAAGTTCTTAAACTGTTTTCCAAAGTATACCAGGTGTCATTATGCCAAATGTCCTTTGTACTGCTTTAATTTGATAGGTTTAGAGATAGTAGATCTAAAACACCACCTCTCTGCATTTCAGGTTAAACCGTGACACAGAAGTGCTGGTTCCAACTCATTACTTCATTGTGCTAACAAGTTGTAAAAATATTTCCCAGACCCCTTTGCAGTGTGAAGGGACTCTAGATACTTTATCTTTCATTGTACCTCACAGGCCAGACAACAGTGAAAGCTGTCCAGTAAGTAATCTTTGTTCAGCTCTAATATACATCTGAAGCCAGGCCTGGCTTATACTGCAGACAGAGCAGTGGTGAATTAATTAATGGCTTTAAATCCTTAAGTATTTTAACATGATGTCCTAGAATGTGATAAACAATTTATTTTACAAAATGTGGGGGGGGGGCTTTTTTGTTTTTTTCTTGTTTTTTTTTTTTTTTTTGGAGAGGGTGTTACATAAGTGTGGTATAGCCATTTAAGTATGAGAGTAGCTATGTTGTGTGCTTTGCCTTCTTGTACTGTAAAGAATGGCTGGGTTCAAACTGATTAATTTGAAGCACAATAGAGTGATAGAGTCTTATGGCATTTTAACAGAGCTTTATAATGTCAACACCAAATAACAAGACCTGGCAAATCAATTTCTGTTGATCTGATTTCCTCCCCTACCATCAGATTCTTCATTTTTTAGACCTCAGTAGGTATCAGTTGCATTTTAATTTACAGGATTACTTTGCCAAATTAATATTGCCTTTTTATACAACACTGTCCATTTTGTTTTTTAATTTTAATATTTGATAATGGGATCTTTGATCTAGCAAAGAAAGGTATAACATGATCCAATGGCTACAAGTTGAACCTAGAAAAATTCAAATAAAATTTAACTGAGTATAAATAACCATTGGAATTGCATACCAAGGATTTTGGTGAATTCTTTATTACTGAATACTTTTTTTTAAATCAAGATGGGTTACCTTTTCTAAAAGATCTGTTCTAGGAAATATTATGTTATGTAGGATATCAGATTAGATGATCAAAATGGTCCCTTCTGGCCATGGAATCTATGAACCTGTTAAAACAAGATCAGGTACTATGTTTAGCTATATCTATAAATACTTAATATCTACTGATCTCTTCAAGTTCTTGGTTAGGCTTTATAACAATTTGTAGCTTTTACTCTATAAAACAGCCTTCCACTAGTATAGAGTATGTCTAATCCTCATAACAGCATTGTGTAAAATATCCCTAATTTTTCTCATTTCCCTGCCCCAACAGAGTCACAAACATGGCTTTTTATGGATTGAAGAGAGAATGAGGTTTCATACAGCCCGTGTCAGAGATGTAGAACTCCTCACTGGACTCAGCTTCTACCAAGACAGAAAACAGCCAGTGTCTGATATTTTACAGTTAAAAACATATTTATCAACTTTTCCCTTGGAGTGAAATTTGTCTATTTCACAACTAATTTTGTAAATACACTATTTTATCTTCAGGAAAAAAGTCTTTACATAATCTGGGACACTTACTGGGAGCTGTGGACCATACTGGGAATTGGACAGAATCTGTGCCACATTCATATCTCAGGAATATTTGATGGACTAAGTATAACATAGGAAGATTGCTCCTGTTGGTTTTATGCCCACTTGTGCTAGAATTGCGTTGCTATTAAAGCTGATCTGATGGATTTATATAGCTTGTATACAGAGACAATGAGGAGAAAATTAGTGGCCCCTCCTAAATATTTAATTACATTGTACTGGGAGAAGTTTATAAGGGAGGAATAATGACAATATTTTGATTAAAAAAATAAAGACAATTGGCAATATGTTAAAATCTAGAAAGCCATTAAAATCATGATTAACGTAACATTACACAAATGGTTCCTTTTCAATCTGTCTTATAAGGGAGGAAGCAGAACATTTAGTGAATTAGACTTTGAGCAATGTGCTATATTCCATGTAAAGCTATATTGCATGTGTAATGGGATCCACTTCCAAATGGGTCTTCAGTAAGGATATGTCTACACTACCCCGCTAGTTCGAACTCATTCCATGAGGAGTACAGCTAGTTCGGATTAGAAGCCTAATCTGAACTAGCTACTCCGTGCCGGGATTTAAAAATGGCGGCGCCCGGCTTATGCAAATGAAGCCTGGGAAATTCAAATCCTGGGCTTCATTTGCAAGTGCGGTATGTCTACATTACCCTCCTAGTTCGAATTAGGACGGTAGTGTAGACATACCCTAAGGGAAGAGTGCAAGACTTCTAGTACAAAAGCATATAGTTGGTAACTGGTAGTAGTAGTAGGTTGTTGTTCTGCAGTGGACTAGAAACTAAAGAGAAATGTGTTATGTATGCATTCTGTGACTGCAGGGATGTGGTGCTTCAGAGTACATATGTGATAAGGAATGAGCCAAATAGAATCTTAGGATAATTTTGGAGAATTATCTCACTCCGGGTGAACCCAGACTTGATTAATACATTTTGCTTTCTTAAGGATTCAAGGTCATTTTTAGATTTGGCATAATAAATTTGTCATTTTAAGGAAAACTGACTTTTGAGGAGAAAAAAATGCCATTTTCCAGAGGAGTATTGCTTTAATTTGTATTGAATAGTCCCCTTGCAAACATTCAAAGCTGATTTTTTTCCTGAATTCCTTTTCAACGTAGTTTGTCCCTAGAGAGGCATCAACTGACTAGATCCCATCTACATTTCCAGTGGCGCCCTTTTATCCCCAATGTACATAAATTGCTGTTCACTTACTTTGCATGCAAATACTGCCAGATGCAAAGCCATCACAGACAAAACAGACAGCTGTCTTGGAAGTTGTAGTGCTTTCCAACTAGGTACTGGTAAGGCAATATGCCATCACTTCCATAATCCCACTTTGTCTCCTTTCATCTATAAAGGACTGGGCTCTGTATATAGGGATTTTTTTATAATCAATTATACATATCTATTTTTTTAACCCACAAGCTACATTAAAAGAATGTAGAGTCTGTGGCAGAGCATCACAGAGAGGGTATGTCTACACTACCCCGCTAGTTCGAACTAGCGGGGTAATGTAGGCATACCGCACTTGCAAATGAAGCCCGGGATTTGAATTTCCTGGGCTTCATTTGCATAAGCGGGGAGCCGCCATTTTTAAAACCCCGCTGGTTCGAACCCCGTGCAGCGCGGCTACACGGGGCACGAACTAGGTAGTTCGAACTAGGCTTCCTAATTCGAACTACCGTTACGCCTCGTGAAATGAGGCGTAACGGTAGTTCGAACTAGAAAGCCTAGTTCGAACTACCTAGTTCGTGCCCCGTGTAGCCACGCTGCACGGGGTTCAAACCAGCGGGGTTTTAAAAATGGCGGCTCCCCGCTTATGCAAATGAAGCACGGAAAATTCAAATCCCGGGCTTCATTTGCAAGTGCGGTATGCCTACATTACCCTCCTAGTTCGAACTAGGAGGGTAGTGTAGACATACCCAGATATATTTATGCTTTTGTTTAGCCTAGAAATGTAGATGCTTGATCCACAGCCCATTGAAGTCAATGGAAACTTTTCCAGTGACTTTGGTAGAATTGGATCGTGCCCTTGGGCTATTTTCTTCCTTTCAGTGTGTTTACTTTCTTCATCTCTTCTGTCACAAACATAACATTCGCCTCAAGTAGTTTCACTGTGTGAAGTGCAAGTGTGTTGCAGCAACACTGCATCACAACTGTGATATTATTATTTAATGTAATGGTTTTGTAACATCAACTTTGATAAATAAAAAGCAGAGGTGGTTTCATTTTGTCTCCTTTCTTGTGCCAGACACCTTGGTCAGTCAAATACAGACTCCAATATATGGATTTCCTTCTTAACAGGCTTAGATTACAGCAGAGTCTTAGTCCATTAAAAAAAGATTTCTAGCCTGTATGGGGCTTACTGACACTAGGATAAAATTAAATGTGTAATATACCTTTTTAATCTAGTATAGACACTTTTATTATTATGGAAAAATCCTTGAACACACAACCAGAGTATAAGCAAAACTGTCTCTTCAACTTTTACCTGTAGTTTACAAACTTCTGTCCTTCCCTCTTTACTAGAACATAGCAAATGCCTATTAATAGATCTTCCCTAAGGGACATATCTGGATGATGGGCTCCTCCACACCTGTCAGCTTTCCTGGAATGTGGCGAAGGAGGCTAGGCTGGGAATCTGAAGAGAGAGACAAGGCTGGAACTAGATGGACAAGGAGACTGTGAACCAGAGTAAAGGAGTCAGTGTGAGAAATGGAATGGGGGCGGGACCAGTTGTGTGGCGAGGAACACTGAATTCAGACAAGGAATAAGGAGCTTGTGTGGGCTGGAAGAGACTTGAGACTAGGTGTGGAAGGGGAAACAAATGGGAATGAGTAGTGAACTGGGACTTAGCAAGCCTCTTGGGGAAGTCTAGGACTGACTGGGGAAAGAGACGGGGACTAGGATGAGAAGCCTAAGGAATACAGACTGGGACTAGGGCAAGGAGCTAGGTTGGGAAAGGAATAGGAATGGTACAGGCTGAAGTGGCAAAAGAGGGTCAAATGTGTGTGAGAGAAAAGGACAGAAGAATCGGTGTCCCCTGGAGCAAGGGTTCTCAACCTTTTTCTTTCTAAGGTCCCTCCAACATTCAATAAAAACTCCACAACCAGGGTCTCTGACAGGGAGTGCAAAGGGGACAGATGATGTAGGGCCTGGCACTTTAAAAAGTTTCAGAGCTCCTGGCTGCAGCCACTACCATGGCAATTGTTACCCAGAAGGCTGAGGTAAACATTTGCTGTGGGCAATTAATTAAAGTCTAATGCGCCTCTCTCTCTTTCTCTCTCTCTCTCTCTCTCTCTAAATAAAAACTTGTCTTGCAGGATGACAGAGTGCATTATGATGCTGCAGCCCTGGCCTGGTCGGCCCTCCCAATTCTGTCCCCAGCGGCCAGAGGAGAGCCCTAGCTGCTGTGGCTGGCTCAGCCCCGGCCCTCCTCCAGCGGCTAGAGGGGGGGCCAAGAGACTGTGGCCTACATGGCCTGCACCACCCCAGCCCTTCTCCGGTGGCCATAGGGGAGCCAAGAGACCACAGACTGCAGCAGGGGAGAGGTGAAAGGCACAAGAGGCCTGAGCAGGCTGCGGCTGGGGTGGGGAGGTGAGAGGCCAGGGGTGTGTGGGGGGAGAGGGGGGTCAAGAGCAGACTTTGGCCCCGGCTCTCCCATCCCTGGCAGCTGGGAAAGGGGGTGAGAGGCCAGGGCTTGGGTGACCCCAGTCACCATGATGAGAGCCAGGCCTGCCTGGGTGTTGGTGAGCAGGGGGCAAAGCTTATATATATAAAAAAAAGTATATTTAAAAAAAAAAAAAGCTTTGCAGAGAATGAACTGAATACTGTTGAGAATTTGGAACAAATGTTATCTCTCAGAGCCTCTTCCAAATGACAGAAGTTTTATCAATAGACATTGTTGAAGTTGCTCGTTTGGGGTATGTCTAGACTACATGCCTCTGTCGCCAGAGGCATGTAAATTAGACTACCCGACATAGTCAATGAAGCCAGGATTTAAATAATAATGACGGGATTCAGATAGACATGACAGCTACACCATAGTAACCCAGTCCAAGGGTATGTCTAGACTACATGCCTCTGTCACCAGAGGCATTTAAAATAGGCTACCCGACATAGTCAATGAAGCGGCTCAGCTGTTCGTCGGCCCAGCACGCGAGTCAAGACGCGGATCGGTTGACTATCTGAATCCAGTCACTAATAAATGTGTAACTGATTGCTTCTAAATTGCTTTGTGACTTTTCATAAACTGTCTCCAATTTTGTCTTCAACTGCATGAAACAAAAGCTACCTAAAAGTAAAACAAAAAAACTTCCATTTGTGTTCTGCTTGCAAAAACCCCTCCACAATGGCTGCATCTGAAATGTTTCTACTGGCTTGTATCAGTTTGATGGAATTTCCTATACCTCTAAGGGAAATACTGTTAGAATGTATTAAGCTGTATCTTAGTAAGCAATAATTACTGATATAGAAACAAATATTATGTGATAACTCTTTTCCCCAGCTTTATCTGCCTTTGTTACTACAAATTATTTATCTGGGAAACATAAGGTTATTGCCCTAAAAGGCTTACAGTCAAAGAGTTTGTCTACATAGACTGTGTTGCCACTTGAATTATACTGGTTTAGTTAAAGCAGTGAGCCTCCCCTGGTGTGGGTTAGATATACTGGTATAAATGTGCTTATACTGGTACAGCTTATTCCAGGCCGTGACTCTTACAGAGCCTAGGCCAGTAAAATTGTGCCAGCAGAGCCCCCTTATGTAGCTGCAGTAGCAGCGCAGCAAAAGGAGTTCTGCTAGCAGACATGCACCATCTTCCTAATGACACTAGCTCAGCTCAGTTCAGCTTCTGTTGGCATAGTTGTGTACAGCAGCGTTTTTGCTGGAATAGCTATTTTGGGCAGGGATGTGAGTCCCTTCCCACTCCTAGGTGACATACATGGGCAAGCAAAATTTCATAGTGTAGACTGGGTCTCAGCTCAGGAAGTGAAAGCTATATGTGCAGTAAGGTACCTTCGTGCCGTTATAACTGTGTCATGTGTCTATACTAGGATTTATACTAGCATACAGTTCTGCTGGCAGAGATGGGGGGGGGGGGAAGAGCAAAGGGGAAGCAATTCAAAAGGATTTAGGGCTCTCAGATGCTGACGCTGCTACTGCAGCAGAGATGGAGCCCTGGGCCTTTTAAATTGACAGCAGATCCCTGGGCAGCATGCTCCGGATGGCACTTGAACGGGACGGCGCACTCCGGACATCGCCTCAGCCCCACTCCTTTTGGGAGTGCGGAGCCACCCCTCCTTCCCCACCTTGCCGAGGGGCCTGGTGAGGCTGTTGGCTCACCTGCCAGCATAACTGCTGGATTTAAAAAAAATATTTCATACTTCTAGCAGACAGTTATATGAGTATCTCTTTAGTATTGACTGCTCTAAGAATGTACTCCTGCATCCCTTAGTCATATGAACAACACAGTTGTTTCTACCTTTAACTTGACTTCTAAAACTTTATAATATTTAACCAATGAAACATCTGCATTTTCTCTTCATGCCACACTTCAGTGTCTTCCTTTCCACCCTATAGTTGCCCCTAATTTGAGCCCTGGTCCTGAAGTCCCATTGAGACAATGAAGGAGTGATAAGCCCGGTGCCTGATCTACACTAGCAGTTTGACTAATGCAAGAGTGGGTGCATTTCCACCACTGCTAGCCTCTAGTAAGAGAGTCACTGATCATCTTCAGTGGAGGTGAAGCCATAAAGAATTTAGCAGCTGCTTGAGAGTCTAGGATATTCTGCTTAACGATGGCACTGAAGGAGTGAAATGAAAGGTTTTTTTTTTTTTTTTTTTTTTTGCTCATCGGCTGCATCATAGTATGGGAATGCCATAGGCAGAGGAGGAAAGATTTCCATTCTTTGGCACCATGCTGAAAAGGTAGTAAACATCACTGCTAAAACCATGTAAGCTTTGTCTACAGTGCAGCTTACGCCATTTCTACCAGGTAGCAAATAGCCATTACAAATGTGTTAGGCTACACAAAGCCCAAGATGAAGCGGATGGGAAAAATTCAGTGCAATTAATTCAATCACAAAGATAAGACAAACTAGCTTGTGTCATTAACTTTTGAAGAGACGGGATGAGTGAGGTAATATCTCTTACTGGGCCAAATGAGATTGGTGAGAGAGACTAGCTGTTGAGCAACACAGAGCTCTTCAGGTCAGTTTAAACTTGAAAGCTTGTTTTTCACCAATTAAAGTTGGTCCAGCAAAATATATTGCCTCTCCACCTTGTCTCCCTAATATCCTATGACCAGCAGCTACTACTGCACTGCCTCTATTAACTCTTGGCATAGATAAAGTGAATCCAATAGGTGCGGATTTCACCTTGGCACAACTCTAGCCTTAGAAAAATGTGTGCAAATGAAGAAAAGGCAGATGCTATTTTTCCCACTGTAAACAGCTCATGCTACCAGTGCCCTGTGACTTCTCATGAATATGGTGCCTGGGAGA